CCTCCCTCCCTCCCCCCTCCTTCCCCCCTCCCTCTCATTCTTAGATGGCCTTTCATACCTCCCCATAAGTGTCTTACATGAGATCTGTTGTGTGGTGTGATCTCTGCAGCACGCCTGGCACTGATCTGCCAACACACTCTGTCACACAAACCCTAACGTTGTTGCCATGCAATATACAAGTAAATGAAAAATCATTGTCCTTGCAAAGCCTCCTCCTCTAGCTTTGCTGTGATGGTGGTGGTGAAGCAGGCATTTGCTTTTATAATTGATTTTTTTTTATTTATCCAAATGCATGTGAGCCCGTTGAAGTGTATGTATGCCATGTGCCAGCAAAGCCTGCAGAAACAAATGAAAACACTGGATTTCTGGAGTTACAAAGAGTGGTGACTTGCCAGTTGGGTGTTGGGAACTGAATCCAGGTCCTCTGTAAGTATAGCAAGTGGTCCTAACCACTGAGCCATCTCCTCAGGAGGCCCCCCGAGTCTACTGCTTCCCCCAAATGGCTTGATCACAGGATGAGTTTAAATCACAGCGGGAGGAAACTGTCTACTGTGCAGTGTGCATATTTGCAGGAAAGAAGATAACAAAAGTTCCATTTCCCCCCTTTTTCCTTTTGGGGCAGGCCCCAGGAGAGCAGCTGTTCTCTTAGGTGGCTGTTAAACATTAGCAATAAACTTTGCTGGAATTATGCTGAACCAAGTGACGTAGAAGAAAGTTTGTACCAAATAAATTTGCGTCGATTAGAATCTGCAGGTGGCCTGAAGCATGCCTGTGTTGGGAGCCAAATTATTCAGCACTGGAACCTTTTGAAAAGAGAACAAAGCGCCTTTCATTGCTTGGATTCTGAGCACAGCTTAGTACTTCATTAGAAACCTCTTAGCTCGCCCTAGGAACCTTTCAGATTTAATTATGAGGTGGGGTATAGCCCCCTCTGCTCAGAACATCACACTGCAGCATTTTATTCTGTTTCCTGGGAGACCTCCAAGTTTTGAAAACTGTGGCTATTTCATATCTTTCCCCTAAAATCTAAGATCAGGCCAAATCAAAGCAAACATCTCAGCTAGTATGTATTCTGAAATGAAAATGACCAAGAACTCAAGGGCAATGGAGTTAATTAAAGGCAAAGAAACCCGAGTGCCTTCTGTGGTTCTCCCACCTTGTCGTGCTGCTTATGGGTGGCTGTCAATCTTGTTTTCTTTATTAAAATGAGGTGTCTAACTCTACACTGTGATTGGTCTTTAAATCTGCTAGCATCACTCCACCTTAGTCACTTTGGAGATTGTAAAGGTGCCTCAAAATTATGATTTGAAGGAGCTGGAGAGATGGCCCAGTAGATAAAGTGTTTGCTATACAAGTATGAGGAACCTGGCTTGATCTCCAGCACCCATACAAAAAGCTAGGATGTTGGCAGTCATCTGCAATCCCATTTTAATCACAGATTTGGGGCAGTAGAGGCAGGTGGGTCCTGGAGCTCACTGGCTCCCCAGCCTAACCAAATAAATGACCTACAAGTTCACAGAGAAATCCTGTCTCAAATAAGGTGAAATTAACCCATTATCTCCACATGTACCTGCACCTTCATGCATGTTTACCCACATGTAAACATACATTCCTAAACACACAAACCTGTGCACAAGCAGGTCACACATCTAAAACGACAGTATCTGATTATTGTGGCAGAGATGTCTTAAATTTGAGGGCAAAGGGCCCACTTAATTACTGAAAGCCCTGTGTAACTGTACCCATAGACTTTTCATGAATGGTTCAGTAGATTTGGCTGAAATAGAAAGACAAAGAACAATATATCACTCTGGAGGCCAGCTTGCTAGCCCAGCCTTTGGAAAGACCACTCCCAATTCAAGCTTAGATGGGAAATTTATTTAGCAGGCTGCTAAATAATGGTCCTGGTGTGACTCCTTCAATTCCAATGTCTGGGTATGCACCTTAATAATGTCTGTGAATTTAAATGGCAATCCCTAAAGACTTTTGGGAACAAAGCATTTTCAGAGGCTCAGCTGACACAGGACTTTCGAGATACTCACCGAGAGAACTGTCTCTCCTTGAGCAAAGTGTCAGGCTGTCTGACTGTTTGAAGTGGAAACAAAGCAAAAGAAAAACAAAACAAAACTAAAAGATGAATAAATAACACTTGAATCTAGCTCTGAATCCTAAAATCAATAATTCCTTTTTATACACATCATTGAAATATACTGAGAATATTAGAGGAAAAAAATTCAGTTTCCCAGATTTAATTCAAAAGCTAACTTTTCGTGAGGTGGCTAAGTGACTGCTGTACAAATGTAGGGACTTGAGTTGGGATCCTACCACCCACTTAGAGCCGATGCTGTACCAGGAAATCTGTATTCTCAATGCTCCTGTTTGTAGATAGGATATAGAGACAAGCTAGCCTGGTTCAGGCAGCTATGAGGAGCAAGAGACGCTGTGTTAGAGTGGAAGGTGAGGAATTAACAGGGGACATTTTCAACTGACTTCCACATAGATGCATGCCTACAGATACACACACATACACACACACTATTAAAAAAGTCAATGAACAAGAAAGGCCAACAAATCAGACAGAACCCACAAGAATCTGGCCCAAAGCCAGTGTTCCAAGATTCTGTCAAGTAAGTTGAGTTGACAATGAGTTGTTTAATTTTGCCAGTGTGTGTTGAAAATCAGGTTATATCTCCCTATGTCTATATCATCTGTATCAACTATATCATCTATATCTACATCTACACACACACACACACACACACTCACACACACACACACACACACACACACACACACACACACACACACACACACACACACTAGAATGGACCAAACCAGCATAGTAGAGAACTTCCTTACCCCATGATAGATATGAACCAACTCTTGCATTTTTCCTGTCTGACCAAAATAGAGAAAAAAAAAAAAAAAAACGACAACGGCATCTGCCTATGGTGATGTTTTATTCACCGACTTTGAAAATATTAAGGTTTCTCTTTGTCTGTCTTTTCAAGTGTATAGAAAACGTGCTGTGTTCACGTGATCATAGGACATACTTGTATAATGCCATTTCAGGGGTTGTGGGTTTTACTAATTGTGTTATTAGTATAATGCCATTTCAGGGGTTGTGGGTTTTACTAATTGTGTTATTAGTCACTGTGTTTTATTATAAGAGGTACAGATAAGTCTATCTAAAGTTGTGACAGAGCCCTGTTTTTATAGTCACTTGAGTCAGTTGGATTACTGGCTGCATGTGTAATACATCCAGAATCAGTTACCAGATGTGACAATACACTGGTGCATTTTCATTGTTAACTTGTTATAACTCAGAGCCACCTGAGAAGAAAGTTTGGCTGAGGAAATGTGTTAAGGGCCATGGGCCCTAAACTATGGGTTTTAAAGCCCATCTTTGTAAACCCTTCTATGAGCCTCCTGTAACCTGTAATTAGATGGTTTGGCCACACTGCTAATTGCTTCTGTTCTGAGAAATGGCCTGGGGCTTTCCTGGTTGCTGTTCTGGGGAAGATCACAAGATATTCCGGCTGATAAGAAGAATGCTCCGGCTCCTTCCTGTTATCCCCCGCCTGCCTAATTTCCTTGTTGCAGGGCTATATAAGCCCAGTCTGAACCCCAATAAATGGAAGCCTTGACAATGCATAGACGGACTCTGGTCCTCTTTCTTTTGCACTGCTTGGCTTCCTTCCTTCTCCCGCCCATGACTTTTTTCAGGCAACCCCCTCTGGAACCCTGAATGACTGACCCGCAGGACGGGACAGAAATGTAGCTAGGTTGGCCTATGAGCATGTCTGTGAGGGATGGTTTTGACTGTTAAGTAAAGTGTGAAGACACACCCTGAATGTGGGTGGCACTGTTTCCTGGGCTAGCCCTGAACTGTTGGAGAGACAGGGAAGCTAGCTGAGCATAAACAGCATAGAGAGTAAGCAGGGATCCATGTGCTTCTTTCTGCTCTTGACAGTGAATGTGATGTGACCTACTTCAAGTGACTGCCACTATGACTTGCCCTCAGCAATGGACTGTGACCTGGCATTGTGAACCAAATAAATGTTCTTCCCCTAAGTGCTAAATGGATTCTTCTTCTTTTGTTTTCTTCAAGACAGGGTTTCTCTGATGGGGGAAGTGCTTCTGTGTATGTGTTTGTCTTACTGGATGATAAATAAAATACTGTTTGGCCAATGAGGCAGCCAGTTAGACGGGACTAGGAGTCCAAAAGGATTCTGGGAAATGTAGTAGAGAAGTGGTGATCCAGGCAGGAAGTGACATAGCAAGGAGATGCATATTTAAGCAAGGAGAAACAGGAAGTGACCCCTTTTCCCCTTTGGATCCTCCAGTGGCACCATGTGAGCCACTGGCAAGAGAGGGTGCCAGCGGAAGGCGTCCTCTATAAGATAAGTCTTATAAAATATATAGATTTATGATAATTAAGACTGAGATAACAGATGAGAATCCTAGTCACTGGCCAAGCAGCATTTGTACCTAATATGTCTCTATTATTTTGTCCATCCACGCGACGGACAGAACTTGGGCCGCTAGCATAAAGCACACACATGGCGTTGGGGCTTGGCTGGTGTTGAACTCACAGAGATCCGCCTGCCTCTTCCTCCAGAGTGCTGGGATTAAAGGCTTGCACCACCACCATGCCTGGCTGACCAAAGTCCTCTTATCTCTTCCCATTTCCCAACTCAGCCATGAAACAAAAGCCTGCAATTGGTGCCTATGGTAACTGAGACTCTAAATCGTTCAGAAATACTGACGCTGATTATCAACTCTATTTCATAGTGAGAACATCTCTTTTTAGGATATCTGATGGCCATACATTTCATCTTCTACTGTCTCTGTTATGTTACAGGCACCTATTTAGTGCCCCACCCAGCAAAGGATAATTGAACTTAGAGTATGTAATATATGAGAAGCATAAAATCATCTAAAGCCAAGGTGGAAGCCACCCCTGGACAATCCCATCAGAACTGGAGTTTACGGCTTACTGGGAGCTGTATTATTTTCACACGTTTCTTCCTCATTTGGTGTTTCAGCTTCTTCCTCCTCTTCTTCTGGGTCATCAGTGTCTCCTGAATCATCGCTGTCATCCACCCATTTCCCTGGCATGAGACCCGCAGAGTCATAGGAGTGGCATAGAGGACCCACAATGTGTGAGATAAAGGATTCTTGAAGGTTGGCCAACTGTGGGGCAGAGCGGTCCATAAAGGGGCTGATGGGCAAACCGAGGCTAGCTTCTTCATCGCCCTAGAAAAGGAATTCACAAAGGTAAATGACAGAGAAGTATAAACAAGTCAACATTCAACTGGCATCTAATGTGCGGATACTCCATAACCCAGCCACATAAAATCCCTTGAAGTCACTGCTCAGAGTCATTACCGATGGCTAATATGCCCACAGAGGGACTTTGTTCCTGGCATTTGGTAACTGTGCAGTCTTGAATTTTTGGTTCACTTTAAAAAGGGGCATGTTATGAGACTACTGATATACACCACTGCTTCAGTGGTGCTAGGGTTTAAACTGAAGGCTTCCTGCATGCTAGGCAAGCATGCCACCAGCTGAGCCACACCCCCTATGATGTTTGCCTCTTTGCCTTGACTGCTAGAAAGCATAAACCATTTTCTTGCCTCATTCAAATTGCTGTATTATCCTAGATTTTGTTTAATTTATAATCTGCGATTATATGCTTTACTACTCTTACTTATTTCAATATATTTTGCTTTAACCACCTCAAATATTGATGAGAATAAAAATAACAGCTCATCAACAAGAGGTTACCTTGAGAACTTAAAAACTTAATAAAATTATAAGTCAGGGTATGTAGATTTTCCTTTTCTTTCATATTTTTCTGCATTTTAATACTTTACCCATTGATTGATAATGCCATTACTAGAAAAGGCAATGCACTATTTTTGAAAGCGTAAATATTTTATTTTGCATATGAATGCTGACTACATAAACCTTAAAAGTTTATTATAATCCCTATTTAAGTACCATTCATTATAAGGTGCCCCAACCTGCTTGGACACCTTTAATACTAACAGCTTTTATTTTCTGCTGTTGTCTGAACTTAGCCCTCAGTGACATGGACATACTTGTTACATCCACACCCTATTCCCTTTTCTTCTATGATCTGACCTCACATTGCAGCCCCAAGAGGTCCCGCCTCTGCCTCCCCATGTTGGCATTCCAAGCTTGTGCCACCATGCTGGCTTATCCTGTGGTCTAGGGCACTCAAGAAGGATCTAGCATTTCTTTTGGATCAGCTCTGTGATAAGTACTTGAGAGGCTTTCCCTGCTCAAACTCCACAGCAATGCTCTGATAAACCTATTTCTAAAGTTCTACATGTGGCTCTTAACATTGGACTACCGTCAATCTGTCATCGCTGCCCCTCCAATCTGTCATCTATATCTCCCCCGCCCCGGGATAAACATCTTTGTTGTGGGAACTAGAGATTTCTTGCTGTTATCTTCACTTTGTTTACATCCCCCGATGTCACTGATTCCTCTCCTTCTCTGTTCTTACTTACTTCCACATTCTTCTTAAGAAAGGTGTTCACACTGCAAATGGAATTGGATCACTGTAGGTTTATGTGGGGATGGTCACCCATGCTTACCAGCAGGTAGTGACTTTTCAGGCAGTCTGTTAATTCTTTTGTTCTTGTATCAAATCTAGAGTCTACACACACACACACACACACACACACACACACACACACACACCCTTTCAACTGTACAAGGAAAGCAGTCTATTGATGTTTCCTAATATACATAGAGATACTTTCACTACAATAAACAGACCTGTAGCAATATGGCATTTCAGGGTTGTTCATAACATCTCACTAAATTATTCTGTCATACTGACATGTCTCTCTAAAATACCTAGTGATAATTTTACCTAGGTGTTCAAGAGTTTAGTTCATTTTCATGTGTGATATTTATTTATTTATTTTGTTTGTTTTTTCGAGACAGGGTTTCCCTGTGGCTTTGGAGGCTGTCCTGGAATTAGCTCTTGTAGACCAGGCTGGTCTCGAACTCACAGAGATCCACCTGCCTCTGCCTCCCGAGTGCTGGGATTAAAGGCGTGCGCCACCACCGCCCAGCTCATGTGTGATTTTTAAAGTTCTGCCAAAACTGCTCTCTCTCTCTCTCTCTCTCTCTATCTATCTATCTATCTATCTATCTATATATATATATATATATATATATATATATGAGTGATCATGCTGTCATGGCTTGAGGGACGCTTTGGTGAAATTGTACCCAGCAAGGACACATGGCTTGTGGTGTGTGATGCAGCTCTTTGAGTTACCTGCTCATAAAACTCACTGGCGATGCCCTCTGTCCACTTGAGGTGGAGTTCTTTACATTTAGCAGGCCCGTTAATGTCAGCCAACTTTATACACATTTGACACACCAGGAGACGGTCGTTTTCATTGGTCCAATCTATCCCAACTTCATCGTTCACCTGTTTGAGGGACAAAATTAACATGTTCTGATATGTTATGTTATGTTATCATAACATGTTATGATAGCTCAATAGAACATGAGAAATGACAACAGAATCTTATTGTCTTCCTTCTGTGTGGGAATAAGAACATCAAACATCAGAACTTTTGATACTGGAACTAATATCATCAGCTTGCATTGGAAAAAAAAAAGTGATGCAGCTCATCCAAACTTAAAGCAGTCAGCAAAAAAGTTGCTATTGCTGAACTTATAAGAAATCCTGTTTGAAGTTAGCACAAAATATCGATTTCTATTAAACAATTAAACTATAATATGTTTTCTTTTGTATGTGTATGTATAAATGTACTTGCAGGAGTTTGTGAGAGTGTGTGTGTGTGTAGGTCAGGGGTTAACCTCAGACCTCAGGTGTCTTTCCTCAGGAGCCACCACCGTGCTTTTTAGACAGGATCTCTCTCTGATTACGCTGCTGGCTAGTGAGACTCTGGAACCTCCAGTGTCGGCCTCCCCACTGCTGAGGCACTTGCATTATGCATGACCACTGCCATGCTCAGCTTTTCTTTTCTTTCTTTTTTTTTTTTTTTTTTTTTTTTTTTTTTAGCTGTTTTAAATGTGGGTTCTCAGGGTCACAGTTGGGTCTTCATGCTGCCAAAGCAAATACTTTACTGACTGATGCTTCTTCCCACAAACAAAACAAGAAACTTTCTTGAATGAATAGTTGGGCTTTTATGTTTGATACATGAAGTTTTGCTTCAAGTTTTCTGTCCTTTCTATTCCTGTCAGATAGTTTACCTCATGCACTGTAGACATGCTTATATGTCAAACAACAGTGATAGTTAATGTTTCTCATTCTCTATAGAACAAAGTCTAACATACACAGTCAAGGTGACTCTTTATGCCAGCTGGGGGATAAATATTTCAATCACTTCCTTCTTACAGAAAGCTTGTGATGACTGAGTTTTGTTCACTACTTTGAATACAAAACACCTTTTAATGTGTCCACAAGATGAACACTGGTAGACATCTACTTACCTTGGCATTAAATTTCGCTACAAAGTCAAAGTGTTTCTTCAGGTCAGTAGCCAAGATGGCTTCAATGACTAGGAACCGGAAATGCTTAAATTCCACATGGTCCAGGTTACCTAAGAAGTTATACTCTGGCCGGGACATGAAGAGATTCCACGCTGCAGCTGCGTGGTGATTCTCCAGAACTGAACGGTCATTGTACAGCACCGCCTAGGGTAAAAGGCAGGAAAAGGGAGAGTCCAGTTTCTTAAGTTAAAAAGGAATCACAAAAGTCTGTGAGGATACAGAAGGCTTTAAATTTCTCGTTTTGACGCTGGCTATTAAGAATCACTGCATTATCTTGACCATAATGCCTTTTCTTGGGTAATTTTATTTCCTGACATATATGTTTCTCCCCTTAAAACTTTTCTTGAAAATTATTATATATAATTATGTAAATATCATTACATGTATAAATTATACATCTATACATATATTTATATATAATATTTTCTTTAAGAAAATTTTTGTTTGAGGAAACGTTGTTTAGGTCAAAAGAATTCTCCCCACTGCATAAGATAAACAGACAGTAAATTCCTATGAATGAAAATACGGGCACTAAGAAGCAATGTTGCCATGGAAATATTTCAAAGAGTAAGTTTTGCCTACAAAGTCCTATAGTCTTAAAGGACCAAGGAAAACATGGTTCTTCAGTCTTTTCAGAAAGGGGTGTGTGCGCAAGCTGTCTCTGCTATGTTGAGGATATCCACTCTTAGTCATTTGATTCCCTCCTAAGATGGCAACAGAGAAATGATCTTTCTTTGTGATGAGGTTGAACATATGCCATGAATAACTTGGCACAAACCATGCCATCTTTTGAATTAACAAGACCTACAAGAATTTTAACTGAGGACTAAGTACAGGTTGGTTCTTACAAGTCACATTTGTAAAATTAATTTTATTCCAATAAATGTATACCCTAAATTAATTTCTCCTTGTGAAAATGTAACCTTCACCTGAGGAGCACTAGTGGCGACCAGGAAAGCATTCGTCCTCCCCGGGTGATCGTAGTCATGCATGGCCGCTGCGACATACAAGGCCATCAACTCCAAGGCCGGGATATTTCCAGACAGACATCCGTATTTGTCATCTGGCACATGATACGTTTTTGAAAACACGTATCCCATGTGTCCATGGGTAAATCCACTGTCAGAGTCTGTGGAGAGGGAGTGAAAATGATAGAAAGTCTTAATAGCTATAAAGCTGGAATCATCTTTCTGATTTCTTTGAAAGCAAAGCACACGACCGGAGTTCCTGGCTTTTACAAGATGTACAGGCATACTTCATACACACCCGAGTCGCTTGCTGATCCATGATCACTAACCACACTTGGGAGGCCAGGAATTGGCTGCGTTGTGAGATACCACACGGCATGTAAAACATCAGTGGCGTGGATTCGGTTATGATCTGAAACAATGCAGAGAGCGCACATCAGCCGGTGAACTCTGGGGTCCGAGGATGAAGAGTGCCATCTACTGGATAAATACTTCTGTCCGCACACATTAACTCTCCAGGGAAGGCATGCCAGAGTTCTCTGGGAAGGTACTTATGAAAAATTCTTCCCCCAATTCCATCATTTCCACAGAAACAAGAAATCATACCCACGACATTTATTGTGCATGCAGATATCCAAAGTGGAAAAGCCGACGTCTGATTTTTCCAGAGGCCTATGCACGCAGGAAACTCAATGTGTTGTGTTTATATTTGTGTTTCTTTGTTCCTGCACAAGAAATACTATATAGAGATGCAGAAATAAAGACCTAAACTACTCAGACCAATGTACTCAAGGACCAAATGTCATCTCAGATTAATAGCATCTTCTTACTTATTTACACCAAAGATGCCCAGCTGAAGGGACAAGTGACAACACCAAATTCCTCATATCTTCCTTTACCATTAGGAATCAGCAGGTGTCCATCAATGCCAAACCTCAGCAATCATAGATTTTTATCACACTTCTACTCATGAGTTGCCTATGTGGAAATGCAAGGAGTCAAGAGACCTTGAATAGTGCAAGCAGGTCTATCCTAATTTTGTGTCTACATGTACACACACCTACACACAAGCATACCCTAGAGGCCAGAGGAAAACCTTTGGGAATGAGTTCTCGCCTTCTACCATTGGGTTCAGGGATGTACTTAGGTCCTCAACTCTGATGGCAAGCATCCTTATCTACTGAGCCAACCTGTTTGCCCTGTAAGTATCCTTACTATATAATTATTTTCACTTGGAGTTGACAATTCCATACTTCACAAAAATACATTATTTACTCAGCTAAAAATAAGACAATTAGTTTAGAATCTGGAAGCTTCTTTTTATATATGAGTACTGGCCCTGTCCTCGCATCGTCACACGTGACGCTACAAACAGCAATGTGTTCTAGGTCACAGAAAAGCAGTGTGACCACACATCGCAGTGCCTTCATGCAGTGTGGCATCTAAGTGAATTCAATAAAACCTGATGATTAAAAAAAATAGAAATAAATTTACAGCATTTGTAAATCCTGCCTGGTGCACAACTATACTTTAGTTTTCCTGTGGCTGCCTTTCTGAAAATGTTTATTTATGTAACTCCTTAATCCCTGTGAACTCACTAACATTTATGTCACTTGTTGGCATCTGACCAGACTGAGCCCTGGGAAAGTCACATTAAAGGAAGCCAGGCTTAGAGCCAGATTCCCCCCAACCTCCTTCTCATGTCTCTCTTCCAACTTCCACGGCCTCAGCCGCCAGACATTCCCAAAGGACTCAGTACCACTAAGCATCATTTCTCCCAAGCCAACTGGCTGGTTTTGCCCTTGTTTGATGTTGTATTCTCCAGCATCTCCCAGTGGTACACTATGTGCTATGCACCTTCACGTGACTATACCGTGTGTGCATCTTAAACGCATCCTGCTCAATAGGTTAGCATGTCCGGCCTGTTCAGAGATGCTAGCCAATTATCTGTGTCCAAGTGTAAGCGTTTTTAAATTTTAACTTCATTTTTTTTTTTGCCTTTGAGACAGGGTGTCTTTCCCTAGAGTTCAAGATTGTTTTGAACTCATTATGTGATCCAGGATAACCTCGAATTTCTGATCCTACTGCCTCAGCATCCTGAATGCTGAAAGTACAGGCACATGCCACCAGATTTCCTACTTTCTCTGCAAGTACCTTACCAACAGGGCTACACCCCAGCCCTTCATTTCAAGTCCTGATAACTGAAAAAGGCACAAGCTTTTGAAGTTCAAAATGTATAAAAGCAAACTTAAAAGGGAAAACATGTTTTAAATGACACATGTCCAGTGCGAGTGCAATGCTGTCAGAGTCTACAGAGAGCACATTCCTAAGATATATTCAAAGTAATAGATTGGATAGAATTGGTTTTTCTTCTATGTATTTATTCCTTTGAAAGACCATATGGATGCTATATGCTTCTACAGCTCCTTTCGTTGTGTCTTTGGACATTCTCTTCAGCTCCATACATTCTACAGTACTGTATAACAAACATGCTTATTCACAGTGATTAAGTGGATTTGACATGAACATTTAGTCTCTCCTTTGCATTATGTCTTCACTATTATAAATTTCAAGATAATAAAAACTAAAATCCTTGGCTGTGTCCTCATCTTGGGGTTTCACATGTACCTGACTTTTTAAAACTTCCCCATTTCCATGTATGTTCTTCTTTTCTGTACTATTAACTAAACCACCATCTCCCAGCCCCTCTGAACACTAACCAGACTTATCTCCTCTTGAGAAAACATCAATTGTTCTTGTTTTAGTTGTTGAACTAGTCAGATACCATGATAAATTCACTCAATAAGAGCAGGAGATTATTTATTGAGAATAAATTTTAACATTTAATCTTACCTAAAACAGCTATGAGAGATCTGAAAGGTACCTATTCTAATCTTTTAAAAAGTACCATCCCATTTGATCCGGACACTCATGTGAAGCAGATCTCATGACCCTATTTTCAAGATAAAGAAACGAGGCTGGAGGAGTTGGGTGAGGCTCCAGGGTCTCACAAACTGTACAATGAAGAACACAGGCTTCTGGCTGCAGCAGCCATTTATATAGTGAGGTCACGCAGATTAGCCAGTGACTTGGCTTCCCAGTGCTGTCTGCAGGTCTGACAAGCAAGCATTGGATCATCTTACTTATACTCACAAGGAATGTCCCTGTATCCGATCTCCAAAGCATGAAAGTAATTCATAAATTCCCTAACCGGGATTTTAAAGGCTTCAAAGAGGCCCATGTCTTCAAACAGTCTGTATGATACCTGGAAAAGGGGAAGACAAGACCCCATAAGACATCACTCATTGTGCTGGGGATGGTAAAGGGTCAGAGTGCAACTGATGTGCTCCCAGTAGAAATATTTCTATTGGGAATAATAAACATACTGAAGACTTCTGTGTACTGAGCCCATGGAGTGCCTTTCCATAGGGACTATGCCATCTGTATTTAAGACAATTATTGTACATAAATCCCACAGATATCCAAAAAACTAAGAAAAACTCTGGTACAACTAAGAACAATACACTGAGTCTTACATTGCTGGTTACTGAACATGTTAAGATAACACACACATGCTAAGCCGGGCCTGGCATCTCCCACCTGCAATCCCAGCATGGGGAGGGAAGTTTGCCATGGCTTTGAGTACAGTACTAGAAATAGAATCCTTTATATTACTCTCATTATTATTACTGATATTTGAGTTCTCGGATATAAGCACTAAGAGAATTGGCAATACCTGCCAGATCAACAATAATTATAGCAACAATGGCAATGATGTGTATACACACAGCATCAAATGAGACACATACCCTAATCAGTCAGCACATACTCATTGTTTACAGATAGTTCTCAGAGTACCTTTTGAGATTGGTACTGTGAGTTCCCAATATCTGATGGCGGAGGATGCTGGGAAGAGAGAGGCTGAGCAACTTGTAGAAGATGGTTGGCATAGAGTAGAACCAGAATCCAAACTGTAATGTAGGTTTTAGAGTTTGTAGTCTTAGCTACTTCAAACCCCACAACCACAATTGGGAAATCAAAGTGATTAGAACTTCAAATCATCAGAGTTTCCAAATGATTTTTTTTTTTTTTAAAAAAGCAACAACCAGGGTCTCGCAATGTAGCCCTGGCTAGCCTGGAAATCACATTAGGTCAGACTGGCCTCAAACTCACAGAAATCCACCTACCTTTTATCCCAAGTGCTAGCACTAAAGATACATGGCACCATGCCAGAGCCTTCCCATAATTCTCATGAAACCTTGCAAAGATAAACTAAGAGTAAGACTATAGGCCACTTCAGAGTCAGATTTTGCATCAGGGTATTGAAATCAGGGATCTATCAAAATCAACCAGCTAGTATTTCACACATAATCATTCCAAGTTCATGAAGAAAGGATCATGAACTGGGCAAACTGTGTTCATTGAAAGGAGTAAATGTAATTTCAAAATATGAAGGCTGGAGAGAAGGCTCAATAGTTAAAAACACTGGATGCTCCTGCAGAGGACCAAGGATCAATTCCTAGCACCCATGGTGTCTCACAATCATCTGATACTCCAGTTCCAGGAGATCTAATGCCCTCTTCTGGCCTCCACAGGTACCAGGCATGCATGTAGGGCATAGACATACATGTAGGAAAATACTAATACACATAAATAAGAGAAATAAATTGATTTTTACTAAAAAAAATAAACATGTAAAATATTCAGATGCAAAGAACTCAGCCAAGGCCAGGAGCTGTGGCCACCGCACAGATGGCTCCTCAAAAGCCTGTTTGAAGTGAGACTTGGCCCTGTGGACAAAAGGTGATTCTTGGTCTGCCCATGCTAATTAATTCCAGCTGTCCTAACATCTCACTGAAAGTGCTGTAGAAGTCAGGGTGGGGGCCAGGGGGACCTTTCCATAATCAGAACTTTGTGACTCATCAACTCAAATGCAGAATCTCAGAAAGCTCTACTTAGCAAGACAACTGAAACAGTGTTCCCTCAGAAGTGCTATGCTCCGTGGTGGATCAAGGTGAACAGTAAGAGAGGGATACAAAGAGTATGCCTTCCTAGATGATTTTACACTGACCTACAAAAGATAAGTGGGTGAGCTTTGAGATCTAACTCTTAATTATCCTAAATATTCCTAATGTTTGCTAATAACCATGATTCTTAAACAGGTTGGACAGCTGAGAGCGTTATTCATGGATAGAAGCCAATGCTTAGCAAACTGGATTCAATTCAACCCCTAGCAACCCAACAATAAAAAGGGTCACTCATACCCCTACCTCTGAGACCATCAAGGGACACCAGAAATTTGCAGTATCATTTGCTATCTTGTCACTGTGCTGAAAAGCTAAGCCATCGGAGGTCACTTTGCTGTGTGGCCACACTTTCTATTTGGAGGGTTGGATGCTGCCATGAGTTCTATGGGTTGCTGGGATGAGGCTGAATGTAAAGAATCTGCACTTCTGAGAAGTCTAATCTCACGAAGGATTCTGGAGTCCAATCTCACGAAGGATTCTGGAGTCTAATATTTACTCTATGATTTACAAAAAAAAATAGAAAGAAAGAAAAAGAAAAAATATTCTTCAAGCCTTAGTTTCTTCTGTAAAACTGAGATTAAAATAAAACAAACAAATCTCCTATACCAAGCTGGTGTGGTGACGTAGACTTGTAATTCCCGCCTTTAGGAGGTAGGGACAGGAGGATAAGGAATTCCATGCGATCTTTGGTGACATAGCATGCTTGACACCAGCCTGTGTTATATAAGACCTTGTCTCAGAAACAAACAAACAAACAAGCAAAAAAAAACAAACCCAACAAAACACAAACCAGCCAACCCACCACTGCCACCTGCCACCACCAACAAAAAGCCTATAGCAAAATTACTGTGGAGATCACAGACAAACAAGAATGTGTGGTGTTTGGAATCTGAAACCCTGGAACTCTGAGGCTGAGGCAAGAAGACTGTCATGAGTTTAGGCTATCTGGAGCTACACAGGGAGTTTCAGGAAGGCCAGACTGTGCTCCAGTGTGACACTGTCTCAAGCAGAAAAGAGGGGGAGGGTAGGAGTCTGAAGAAACCATGTAACGTGCATCAAAGGTTACAGTGTGTCAGAATTTTTTCATCCTGGCATACAGGGCACACAATCTCCAGTAGAAATGAATGATCCTGCCTGGACCACAGCTGTATTTTGCAGCATGGATGTATTATACGCCTGGTTTCCAAACAGCCTGGCTCTTAGTGTCAGACTTTGCAATTGGATTCAAGCTCTCTGAGGGGGAGAAAGGAATTCTGACACCAAGGCAAATGGGATACAGTGGCTGCCTTGAACTTGCTAAGATCAGGGAGTTTTATAAGACAGTTTGGCACGAAGAACTCAGGAAGAGATGAATGGAACTGGCAAATCCTAACAAACATGGCTGCCTGCCACTGTGTCATGGTCACGGCCAGAATAAAGTCTGGCAGAGGTAATTAGCTTCTGCTTCATGGCTCATCACCTAGTTGATCCATCACTGGGTTTCTTTCCCAACTTGATTAATAATTCCTTCAGGGAAAGAGCCACTTCTTGAAGACCAGATGAATTCTCTGGGTCTGTGTATTTAACACTAAAAGTAGGACTACGAGCTTCCCATTCAAAGTCTGTGAACTGTATTTTCCTCGAGACATTCCATATTCAGGCTCTTGTAGAGCAGTTGAGAACAGTCAAACTCGGAGGTGGAGAAGGACCAGTGTTCCACAGGTTTCTAGTTTTTTGCACACAAGGTATTAGTGGCCCTCATCAACATGGGCTGGGTCCCGGTCCCACTGAAAGCATTTTTGGTATGTTGCTTTGCAGTTTTTGAGGTAGAGATTCACAGAGCCAAGGGTGACCTGGGGTTCACTAAAGTCAGCAGTTTTTGGGGTGCTATGGTATTTACTCATAGGCATATTTTAAATATACACTAATATGCTGTTATATCACCCCTTGGATTATAAAAATAATTTTTAGTTATTTACTATAATTTTATGTGCAAAAGTGCATATATTTATATATATATATATATATATATATATATATATATATATATCCACATATACATGTGTGTACCTCTATCATGCCTAGAGAGTCCAGAAGAGGATGCCAGATCCCTGGAACTGGTGTTCCAGATGGTTGTGAGGCACCATGTGAGTGCTTCGAACTGACCTCAGGTCCTCTGCAAGAGCAGTAACTGCTCTTCAAGTGTGGACCATCTCCCTAGCCCTGAACCATGCATATTTTGATGGCTATTTTATAATACAACCAATCACTTAGCTTCAATTCTTGAAACAGGCATATTTAAGCACCAAAGTTCCATATGTTTCTCTTCCATGTCCACCGAACAACCAGTCCTTTAGGAGGGAAGCCATGAGACAGCCTCTCTTACAGAGACAAGACTAACACTCTTTCATGCACCCAGCCACTCTGCATTTCTGGTGAAAGACAGAGATGGTTTTGATTTTCAAACACATAGAATTCTGATGTTTCACTTTCCAGTGCAGGAGATACATATTTCTGCATAGCATCTTATTTTTCATGAGGCCTAAGCACTGTGATACTCAAAAGTTAAAACAATAGTCAGGAGATATTATAGCTGGATTCATCAAAAACAGGAGTTTCCTTTCTGAGGCCAGGCCAGTTTCTCTTTGGCTCAATTCTATGAATTTTGGTCACTTGTCCATCTTGATGATTTATTCCCTCCTCTACCTCCTTTGCTTTAAAAATTACACACTATCTTAGTTGTAGACTACAATGCTCAATTGAAATTCCAGTTGATTTTTTGTCAGTACATAGCCATAAAACCTAACATACTCATGTTCTATGATAAAAATTTCACTTCTTTCTGCAAGCCTGCCCATAGGTGTTAAGAATGTACAGATTAGCAACCAACTGACTGTTTCCTTCTATGTTTCAACTTATCCATTAGAATACATTTCTTACCTGACTCAGAATACGGCCACATGTTTTTCCTATATTTTCCACTAAGTCAAAAATTGGAAAATTCCAGGTGTTTAACTGATCCATAATTGAGTCCAGGTTATCCATGACTAGGGGTTCAGGAGCAAGAATCGGTTTGTCCTGTAATGGAGATGAAGATATTTGAACCACACATAATTTTTATATTTAAAAAAATCATCAAATTGGTAAATTCAATAAATAACTGTGGTTCTCAGAAATAAATGACTTAAAAGTCCATGAATCTTAAAATTAACAAAAAGGAAAAGAAAGAAAGAAGGACAGACAGATAGGAAGGAAGGAAGGAAGGAAGGAAGGAAGGAAGGAAGGAAGGAAGGAAGGAAGGAAGGAAGGAAGGAAGGAAGAATATGTGACCAGAGTAAAGAGGCCAGCATTGAATGCAGTTCCACTGACTTTTATGTAGTCTGGTGCCTGCCTGCCCCTCTTTCACACACAACCCAGACAAACGGATGTTTCTCCCAGACATTAGCTTTACTACTTTTGTGTCAATTACAAGACTCTTTAATGAAGACTGAAGAACCTCAGAAAACTCCTATGCTATTTCTCAACCTCCTTCTTTCTATACTATAGCATATGTGTCTGAGATGAGAGCCTGCCTTACCTTGGACCCTTGATAGAAATGCATGAGGCTTCACCCCTTGGCTTAAATTGCATTTCTATTTGAGCTGTTCAGATCAGCTTTATTCCTGGAGAATGACAGCTGTCACAGCTTTCAGGAACGTAACTTTATCCCTGAGACATGAGACCTGCCCTCCACTAAACAACACAGTGTACAAAGTGTCCTAAATCAGGATACTCAGATTTCCCACCACCACAAGTATTTTTTTAATTAAAGAAAATAAAGAGAATAAAACATTAAAAAAATTTTGTCTTAAAAACTAGTTTGAAGCTATGAGTAGCAAAAACATGGTTAAAGAAACATGCTAAGAGCAATAGCAGGCAAGCCAATGAGTCCCTGTCCTTGGCAGCCATGCTTAGCCTCTCTCAAATGTACACCAGTGAGTCTTTACACCAGATAAGTCACCATCAAAGGACCTTTTAGAGCCAGTACAGACAAGATCTAATACAGCAAGGAAAACAAATATTCACTTTCTAATCAAGGGGGTATCAAAGATAAAATCAGTCAACCAATCCACCTCTTTTTCTAAACTATTAGTTTAATATTATATTACCAGTTAATATTATTAGCTTATTAATTTTTTCATTAAACTTATTCATGGTTTTTGATTGTATTATTTGTGTTCATATGCAATGATGAATATTTGGGGCTGGTGAGATGGCTCCATCAGTCAAAAGTTTCCCATGCAAACATGGGAGAGGAGTTTTATCCATAAAACCAATTAAAAAAAAATCAGTGTGATTGATGGTGGTCTCTTGTAATGTCAGAACTGGGGACATAGAGAAATGTGGTTCCTAGGGCTCACTAGCCAGACTGAGCTCCAAATCAATGAGAGACCTTGTCTCAAAATAAAGCAGATGGAACTTGAGCAAAAATACCTAAGATTGTGTCTGGACTTCCCATGTGTGCTCTCTGTATGTGCACTTACACGCAGACACACACAACACACACACACACACACACACACACTCCATTGCCCAATAAAAGAATCATGAAGAAACCAATATGCTCAGAGAGAGAGGGAGGCTGTAACAATACAACCTGAAGGCTACAGACACACGGATCCAAATGGATGCAAGCATTAGATCTAATGACAAAAAAACATAATCCTAAGCCGTCTCTGCAACAGAAGCAAGTTCTCGTGAAAATCAATGAGTTTAGTGTGTGGGACTACCAGGAAGATCATGGTCTGGGAAGCATAGGTGCCACAAGCCGACGCTTTCCTCAGTAGCTCTCTCTGGCACTCGGCCTCCTCTTCATTCTGCAAAATGTCACTGCTGTCACTGTTGTTGTTGGTCTCATAATCAGAGGTAACTTGGGACGTGTCATCTGCAATTGAAAGAGACCAGCCTGTTATAAGAGACGTGGCTATGATGGGGACAGGACACAAGGCAGTAAGTCTTCCTAAACACATCAGCACGGGATGAGCTATTTAGGGAGATTGCATTCATGGACAGACACCAAAAGCAGAATAATAGGGAAGGAAATATATTTTCAAGGTTGGTTTTAGTTTTGACTATGTGTTTGTAGTATGTCTGTGTACATTCGATTCATATGCCTGTGTAGACCAGATGAAGGTGTCAGGTCCCTTGGAATTGGAGTTATAGACAGCTGGCTGTAAGTTACCCAACATGGGTGCTGGGAACAGAATTCAGGTTTTCTGGGAGAGCAATACATATTCCTGCCTTCTGTGTAATTTCTCAGTCCCCCAAATACATTTCTAATCCTAGTAAATAGATGGGAGTTAAGATGTGTGATTTATGTGACATTTAGTAACTTTATAATGATAACTTTTAAATTATTTGCATTAATTCTGTAAGTTTAATTATTCCTCCCTCCTTTCCTCTCTCTTTCCCTCCCTCCACCCCCCTCTCTCTGTCTCTCTCTCTTCTTTCTGGTAGCGGGAATCAAAACTGGGGCATTAATATGTCCTCAAGAACTCTACCACTGAGCTGCATCCCCTAGCTGGATTTAAATTTGTTTCCCCTGTTCTTCCACTGCATTAAGCCAGAAATCAGTTGACGACACACTATTTAAGAGCCTGGGTCATGGGAATAATTATGTTGACACACCCAGGAACCAGTAGCCTGAAGAACATGAAGCAATGGCTAATTAATGCTTATGAGTGCACAGATCTTATGTGTATGGCCCAGGTCCTTGGAAATCTGGGATTCCTCTTTTTTTTTTTTCCTCCACCATTATCTCGTCTTCCAGTCAGCAATTATTAGCTGAAAATCCAACCAGAAAATATAAGTATCTAAAGAACATACTTCCAAACAGTCATCAGGAAGAATGAAACATTTTTAACATTTTCTCAGGATCCTCTTTTCTTCCATCTTTCTAATGTAATTGCTTGCCCAATAAACTTAGGAACAAAGGGCAGAATAAAAACATGTGTGATCATGTGCAACTCATGATCTATAGAGATAGGGGAGTAGCTCCAGGGAGGACCCCATGGCGCTGCAAGAGTCCATGAAGGTGGCCTGTGCATTGACGGATGATGGCACATCCAGAGCCCAGGAAGGTGACCTGACCTGGTCCTCTCATTCTGTCAGTCCTGGGAGACTTGGAGAAGCATCCTAAGTCCTTAAAGAGCTATATAATAACCAGGTAGGTAATTTTCCTTTGACTTCTCCTTGACCTTTGCATATTACTACACAGGATTCTCATGGAAAAAATATGTCAGTAAATTTTATTTGAGGGTATCTACCAAACATTGACAGGGATGCATAATTATTCCTGGTGGTGCCATGACCTTAAAGTCTATACTTCATTGATGCTGTTTTCTACATTGTATACTCTAAGTACAGTAAAAGCAATCCCATAGAGCTGTGCCAACAGAAATAATTATTGCAGCAACATCACAAGCAATAGCTACTTACAGTGACCCCATAATCCAAAGAGAAATAAATGATTCATATATATATATATATATATATATATGTAGGGTTTTTTTTAAAGATTTACTTTTGTGTGTAAGTGTGTCTGTGTGCTCAATGTGTGTGGGGCCTAAAGCACCCACAAGAGAGCATCCTGGGGTTGGAGTTACACATGGTTGTTGGTACACCAGATGTGGATTCTGGGAATCAAATTCCGGTCCTCTGGAAGAGCAGTCTACACTCAAAACTTCCAAATTGTCTCTTCATCCCCCACACATGGTTTATTTAATCTCTGCAGTGATCTTATGTAGTGGGCACTACTGTTACTCTGCCATTTGCAAGTAAGGGAATTAAGGTGCAGAAATTTAGAGGACATGTGATGGGGACAGAAGGAAGGGTGATCCAGGTTACACTACCCATGTTCTTGAGGACACTGCCTCAAGGGAAAACCATGTTATCATGAACAGTACAATCAGGGTCATGCATATGCTCGGACAGGTAACCCTCTAAAGGAAAAGGCATCAACATGAGCCATCATTTATGTGGAGTATGTCATGTAACATACAGTGCTATCTATACATTATACAAAGGGGGCTCTGACTTTAAAAATGATATACATTTGTGTGCAAAGTACAGAAATGTCTAGGAAAGTCCATGTCCAAACTTTGCTATGAGTTAAATTTAGATAGTGGGTTGATGACGATTTTTATTTCCTCATTGGTCATTTTAAGTTTACATTTCATTTAGGTTAGCCAGAGAGACGGATTAGTGGTTAAGAGTATTTGGTTGTGCTGTAGAGGAAGTTCAGTTTCCAGAACCCACATCAGGAGGCCCACAATAACTCAACTCCAGCTACAGGATCTGATGCCCAATTCTGGTCTACATGGGTATAACACTCATGTGCATACCCCCTCCCCCATAAAAATATACACAAAATTTTAAAATTCAAAAAGTTAAGATTTACAAATTTGAAAAACAACTAGGAATTTTTTTTTATTTTTATTTTATTTTACTAGTTCAAATTAGGAACAAGCTTGCTTCAGATGTCAATCCCTTCTCCCTCTCCCTCCCTTCCCCCACAACATTCCACCTGCCCCTAGCCATCATCTCCCCAGGCAGGGTAAGGCTCTCAAAAGGGGCTCCCCAAAGTCTACCACATCATCCTAGGCCAGGCCTAGGCCCTTCCCCATGTGTCCAGGTCAAGAGAACATCCCTTCACATGGGATGGGCTCTCAAAATCCCTTCTTTTTTTTAAGACCTTACATATTTAATACAGTGCGTTACCCCTGTACAAATGGAAAAAAAATTAAGTTCAACATTTCCAGACCAATATGGCTGTTAATTTTTGTACAATGCCAACTCAACACAGTAAACTGGGATACTTTTTTTCCAAAGTTGACAGCACAGCTAAAGTTTCCAAAAATTCAAATATATATATATATCAATAATGGCAGTATGTTATGCATCAATAGCAGCAACAGCTTTTCCAGGTTCTGCAGTCATTTGAACAAAATTGTAGAGACATCTAGCACTCTCCATTTTAAAAAAAAGTAAAAAACAAAATCCCAGAAAAACAGCACAGTTCTGTTACTCTTGTGGTACCTGGCACCATTTTTCTTTTAAATTAGCTTCTCAATCATCATCTGGAAGGAAACCATTCTGAGCAACATCATTAAAAACAGCTCTGATAAAGCATGGTCACTACTATGTATCATAAAGCAGGTCCATGAGTCTACCATAAGATCCTGCAATTCTACTCCTAGGCATATACCCAAAAGAAGCACATTCATATAACAAGGACATCTGTTCAACCATGTTCATAGCAGCATTATTTGTAATAGCCACAAAATAGAAGCAGCCTAGATGCCCCTCAACTGAAGAATGGATAGAGAAAATGTGGTACATTTACACAACGGAGTACTACTCAGCAGAAAAAAAAACAATGGAATCTTGAAATTTGCAGGAAAATGAATGGAACTCGAAGAAACCATTCTAAAAATTGCCCTTTAAAAATTAATTAAATCCACTCTTATTTATTTATTTTTTTGGGGAAATAGTTTTTTATTATTATTAGAAGCAAGTTTCTGATTGACATATCAAGTTGCCTTTTTGGTCAAGGAGACATTAGAAAATAAAATAACTTGAATTTTGAGCAACAGAATCCAAAAAGTATATTACCTGTTCTGTTTGGTTTCTGAGTGGCTGGGCCACTTCTCTCTGAGGGTCCATCAGGAGGATTCCCTTTTGAATAAGGTCTGCCACAGCTGAGAAATGTTGGGAGAGCATAAGTACCTCTGTACATTTTAAACACTTTTAAGCACACAGTATCTTCATAAACATCAACCATCCCCTGCCTTGGTCTTTCATTGCTGTAAGATTTACATTGGCTCATAGTTTAGGGGTATCAGTCCATAGTCAAGTTTTCCCCCACTTTGACCCAGAACTGAGGCAACATATCAGAGCAGTGACAAAGTGTGTTTTCCATCATGGCTCACAGAAAGCAAGAGAGCTAAGGAGGGGTCAGGGTCAAGGAACATTCTTCAAAGTACAACCCTAGGGACCTACTTCCTCTAGTGAGGCTCCCCATGCTTCCACCATCTCCTAACAATGTGTCCAGTTATAAGGGCACCAACAGATCCACCAACTGATTAAGTTAGGGCCGTCTAGATGTAGCTATTTTCCTGGAGTCTCCATGTTTCATATCAAACCCACAATAACGCATATAATAAAATATCACAGTCTTCTACTGGTGAGTCTAGGGGGCAATTCACTTTGCATTACATGCAGATGCTGAGGGGTGGTCCTCCATCTAAACTTCATCTGACTCTCCTCTTCCTCCTCCTCAGCCCACATATTTACACTGAAATGCTGATGAAGTTGTTATATTATTGGGAAAGATCCTGGAATAACTGCCGTTTGTCTGTGAAGTGGTTCTGAAGGATCTGCCGCATGTCTGGCTATGACTGTCTTCCCCAGTGGGACACCTTTAGAGCCTCATTGCTCCACTCATTTCTTGCAGTTAGGATCCTCAATGTCTAATCAGATTTTTAATAAAACACAGAAAAACATTAAAACAGAATAATAGTAAATTCATTTTTATCTTTTCCCAAAACAAATGTATTTCTTTACTGTACATTTTTCCAGCCATCCTTTAAGTACTAAAGGAAATGACCAAAGGAGAGGGACATTGTGGGGAAAAGTGAATGACTGTACTCACTATTATTGCTTGAAAAAAAAGCCAACATGATGTGTGGACAACCAAAATGGTAGAAGTTTCCAGAGAAGTGAATAGTGGCCCATCACAGAGGTGGGTGAATGAGGAGAATCTTTCTGTTTTCTCAACAACTTTACTATTTAACAAGTCAAAGGGTAATCCCACAAACTGGCCCCTCCTTAAATATTTTGTTTAACTATGTCTCAATTAGGTTTTAATCTTCTATTTTGTGGTTGGGCTCTTTTCTTCTGAATAATTTAAAAGATCTCAGGACAACTTTTTTGTCTCATGGTTACTTAACTATGAGATGACAGCATAAAGGGGAAGAAAATAGTTTAACATCAAATGTTTAATATCTAAATGTCTCATTATCTTCTGAACTGTACACAGAGCAAAACATTTCCAAGCTACAGTATACCATCATACTAAGTAAGTATAGTTTTCAACCCTGAAATATAAACAGAAAATCATTATACAGGATTTATTTCTAATGAGAAAAACCCATCATTTTGTCTTAGGAATCAAAAGAAAAGAATAAAGGAAATAAAAAGAAAGTGCATGCTAACTTATGACTTCTAATCTCGTGTGAAAGCTTATTAATGTGAAGGATTTTCATTGCCTGGCAATACCTAAGAGGACTATTTAAGTTACTAGTTCAAATAGAGCATCTTGTGTCAAAAAAACAAAAACAAAACAAACCCCCAAAACAGCTTGTTGCAAAGGCATTACAACAGCCAAGAGACTAGGGTTCAATGCCAAGCCCTTCGAGTTCAGCAGGGGAAACCACAATAGTTAGTCGTGTGTTTCTGGAGCATTCTGTGACTACATGGGTGGCTGCCTTGAAGGGAATTATAAAACCTGGTTTGAATTATAGATTTATAAAGCCCAAACAAATAAAATGCACACTACTGGATTTCTAACCATCACTGAACAAGGGAGACAGAGAAATCCTCCTTGCCCGCCCCCCACTCTCTTTATGAAACTCTGACATTCTTTCCTCTAAAACAACCACAACAAGATGATAAGATAATCTGGCTGCAGGAAACCTGGGCAAGCCATAGAGCTTCCCTGAACATGGCTGGCTCTTCTTTCAGATGCTTCTTTCTCACAAGTCTTGAGAGAGGGAGAGCCCCTTGAAAAAGCCAGAAGCAGATGTTCTTAACCGAAATCACTCTGCTGGGCTTTATCCTGGCTCAGGGTACAGAACAAAGAACAATGCTTCCCTCAGCAAGACTGTCCAATGTCAGATGCTCGAACAATTACAGGGTGTTAACCTAAGGGAATTGGCTCTGGGGCCCAGTGAACTCAGAGACATGAAACAGACCAAGAACTCCTCTGAGCTTTTGGCACAGAGAGTGTGATGTAGCATGTCTCAGACTTTGACCGCACAACAGCACTGAGAAGATGGCTGTGCTGGGTGGAAAGCCCGTGGAACTCATGTTTACTTAGAAGGCTGTCTTGGGAAGAGCTTGGGTACTAGAATAACATTTTAATCTGGTCTTTGCCCAACAATTAAGGTTGGCTATTTTTTTCCACTTAAAAATAGTTGTATAGAGAAAGGAAGTAAAAATAAAGATGATAAAATAAATAATGTTTATTTATCTTAGGGCAGTAAAGTTTGGATGAGGAGAGATCCCCAGGTGTCATGAGTTCAAGTCTTGCTCAATAATCTGTGGTGCTGTCTAGAGCTAGGGGATCTTAAAAGGTAGGTCATATGGGAATGAATGTAGGCCATGGGCAGAGTGTTCAAACAGCAGTTGGGATCTGTAGCCTCTCTTCTCTGTGTCTTCACTTTCCCCAAGAACAAAGCATCCTTAGTTAGACAGTTCCTTCCCTGGGATTCTGCTTTGCTACAAGCCCCAAAACAACAAGGTCAAGGAACTGCTGAATGAATCCACAGAAGCCTTAAGTAGAAGTAGACCATTCCTTCTTGGTCTCAGGTATGCTACAAGTGACAACTGACATAGGGAGTTTACAGACAAGCTACAAGCAAATGAAATGTGTGAAGCTTAGTATCCGTTGTTAGCTATTAAACAGAGTACCCTGATAAAGAAATGAGACACAAGAAAGCATGATGCTGCTAACACATTCAAAGTAATCTTCATTGTGCTGATAAACACTGGCCTCTTTTCTACGTAAAAACAATGCTAGGGACTGGAGAGATGGCTCAGTGGCTAAGAGCACTGATTGTTCTTCCAGAGGACCTGGGTTTGATTTCCAGCACCCACAAGGTAGTGCACAACCACTTGTACTCTAGTCCCAGCCAATCTCTCATCGTCCTCTAGCCTCGTAGGGCACTGCATACACACATATGCAGACAAAACACCCAAATACATAAAAAAGGTAAATCTTAAAAATTTAATCCTTTAAGATCAAAGCATCCAAAATGAAGACATTACTGAAGAACAACAAAAATGTTCATCAGTAATTGGAGGTGTGTTCATTTTATGGTCAATGTTGGTTAAAAAAATAATCACTTCAGGTACATTAAGATCTCCTTTAATCAACCTCTGATGATGCTGGGCAATTCCATTTATTTTTTTATTTTTCTTCCTTCATCCCTCCCTCTTTTCTTCCTTTTTTAGAAATGACTTTCCACGCTATAGCCCAGGCTGGCTTCAGACTCTCTGTATAGTTCAAGCTGTCTTTGAACCCCTGGCCATCCTCCTGAGTGCTAGGGTTTTAAGCACTCACCCCCATTACCAGCTTATAATTCTGTTTAATTATGATACAAGAGGAAATAATTTACTTAATTTCATTCAGGGAACCAATTGCGTCAAGCCATAATTCATGATGTATTATTCATTCATTTCAGAAGAGTTAAAATGAAATACACACGTTTCAGGTAAAATGCCTTAAAAATCAGTATAAAATAGTCACAGGATAACAAAAGCATTCCAGCAAAATAATCAATTACATCACATTACTTTATGAAAATTTAAGTATTTTATTTATTTCAATTATTTAAACTTTTATTTTTATTTACATGTATGTGTCTGTGTGTGGTATGCTCACATGAATGCAGGTGACCCTGGAAGGCAGAAGAAGGCATCAGATCCCCGAGAAAAAGGGTTGCAGGATATTGTGAGCCACCTGGTGAGGATGCTAGGGACCTAACTAAGGATGTCTGTAAGAGCTGCAAGCACTCTTAACCTCTGAACCATGTTGCCAGCCCACAAAGCATATTTTATCCATCACCCACCAGTATATAAACAAATATATACTGCTAATTATTTTGTACTCTCTCCAAAGATCTGTTCAGACTAAACGGGAAATGAAGTTTCTATTTATAGGGAGCCATGGAACAATTGTATAATATATATATATATATATATATATATAATGTAATATGTTATAGTATAAGGTTCTTACCTGCTACATATGACAGGTGGAGGCAGGATCTGAGGGGACAGGTCAGGGGCACTTTGGGTGTAAGTTAAGGCCCTGTGAGATCCAGGGCCTCGCTTGGCAGTTATTTCAGGGGATTCTGGAAACTGTGCTGAAGTAATGTTGCCAACAGGACTACTGGCAGGCGAGCCTTGTGGAGGTGAGGAGGAGGGCGAGGGTACAGGTGAAATCTTAGCAAGGCCACCTGAAAGAGAAAGAGAGTAATGATGCCATTCAACAATGCAAACGTGATTCCTTCCTGTCACCCTCACCCTATATCCATACAATTAGTAGTAGCCACCAGCTCCATGCTTGGCCCCAGATCTGATCTCATCTTCATGCTACCACCTAGAGACAGGACATGTGCCTGGGTGTCTCTATGCCATGGGAATATGACCAGTAAGTCATCCTGAAACATTGCTACTAGGGCTGCCACACATCCACTAAAGCCTGAAGTAACCTCAGGGCGGAACCTTGTTATTTTCTTTTCCCATTTTCGTTTCTCTCTTGTCATCCTGATCTGGAATATCAATTACAATTTTCTCACATGTCTGGACATTTTCAGCTGGAACAAAACTCACTGCCTTTTAAAAGAAACAATTGCATTTTAAAAAAATATTTATTTGCATGTGTGTTGACCTGCATGAGTTTATGTGCCCTGCATGTGTGCAGAAGCGTATGGAGGCCAGGAGATGGCGCCAGATCCCCCGGAAGTGGAGTTCCCTAGATGATTGTGAGTCCCCATGTGGGTGCTGGTAATAGAACTCGGATCCTACGGAAGAGCAGCAAGTGCTCTTAATCACTGAGCCATTTATCCAGCCTCACTATTGTTTTAAAGTCTCATCTAGAGCATACAGTGGCAGGTATGGGAAACTTAAGATATGAAAGTGAAAATGATAATTTGGGGGAGGCAGGTAGACTTCTTAATTGTTCACACACCCAGTGGAAGGCACATTTCTATGGGAAAACAACTCTGAGAAAAGTAAGTTTGGAGAGAACATTAAAACATGATACATCCAACACAAACTACACAGGGGACCTAAAGTTTCAACTTCAAAACTGGGGACTTGTGTCAGATTTCCCACGTTTACATTGATGTTACAGTGTGAGGAGGTCTCATGGGGGAAGTACTTCTGTGTATGTTTTTCTTATTGGTTGTTGAAGAAAATACTGTTTGGCCAATGAGACAGCAAGTTAGATGGGACTAGGAGTCAAAGAGGATCCTGGGAAATGTAGTAGAGAAGTGGTGATCCAGGCAGGAAGTGACATAGCAGGGAGACTCATATTTAAGAAGAGGAAAAAGGAAGTGTCGCTCTCTTTTCCCCTCTGCTCCTGTCCAGCGGCACGATGTGATCCACCAGCAAGGAGGGACACCAATAAGGTGTCCGATAAGATATGTCTTATAAAATGTATAGGTTTGAGCTAACAGATGAGAATCCTAGTCATTGGCCAAGCAGCATTGTACCTAATACAAGTTTCTGTGTATTCATTTGGGCCCTAACTCAGGTGGGCGGCTGGCGTAAACTGCACATGTGGTGATGGGGCTCAGGCAGCTTTGGCGGAAAGATTTATCGTAACAGAGGTCTGTCTATGGCACTGACTTGGGATTATCTAGAGCTCTCACTCTATAAGATGGGGCTAGTGTCTTTTGACTTTCAAGTCATTCACAGGTAGCTGCTTATCCCATCTTAGGGGAAACTGATAGCCCTGGATATCACATTTCTAGCTGTGCGTGTAGCTAATTGGCAGCTGTTTCAAGGCAGTCTTGTGTCCAAAATTCAGTCCCTTTAAAATTTTGACTTTTCCTGGTGCAATGTTTTCTGCTCCATGGTGTGGAATATCATAATTTGTAGAATGATTTCCTTGGTGTTTTTTATACTTTTGTTAGGTTCCTGGGATGAGAGGGGTTCTCATCTTCACCATGGTGGAGGGCTTCCCCAACAAGCCCCTGCACCATATTTCTGTGTTGCTCTTGAACCAGCAGAATGATCCCTCTCATTTGTACTTAATAGATGAACCCACCTTGATCCAGGGAGAGTAACTAAACATGTTGCCAGAGTCAGGAAGAGCTCACAAGAGAACATGAGGGAAAAGGTAGGAGCTAATCTAATTGGGGTTTCTTTTTCTTCCTCCCTCCCTTTCTTTCTTGTACATGCTGACCACAGTCTCCCCTCCCTCCTCTCCTCCCAGTCTCTCCCTATCTCCCCTCTTCCCCCATCCACTCCTCCTTTGTTTATATTCAGGAAAGGCAGGCCTCCCATGAATAGCCACAAAACATGTCATATCAAATTGCATTAAGACTAAGCACTTCCCCAAGTATTAAATTTGGGCAAGGCAATCCAATATGAAGAACAGGTTCCCCAAAGCCAGAAAAAGAGTCAGAAATAGCCTATGCTCCCACTGTTACGAGTCCCACGGGAAGACCAAGCTACACAACTGTCAGATATAACTAAAGGGCCTAGGTCAGTCCCATCAGGCTCCCTGGTTGTCAGTTAAATCTCTGTGAGCCCAGGTTAGTTGTGTGTGTGTGTGTGTGTGTGTGTGTGTGTGTGGGTGTGGGTGTGTGTGTGTTGTTCTTGACTCCTCTGTCTCCTACAATCCTTCCTCTCCATTTTCTGTAGGTTTTCCCAAGCTCTTTCTAATGTTTGGCTGTGGGTCTGCCTCTCTTTCCATCAGCTGTTAGATGAAGCCTCTGATGACTATTGGGCTAGGCACCAATTTCTGAGTATAGCAGAATATCATTAGGCATCATAACATTGATATTTGTTTTTTTCTCCAGTGGTGCTTGGTTTTATCCCAGGTCTCTGGGTCAGGACCCTGACTGGGCTTTAAAGATACCTGGCAAGATTAAATGTCTGTGCTTAAAAAGATGAGCCTATATATCAGCATTGCTGTAGGCACTGGCTCCATCATTTTGTGGCAAATTCTGAGATTTGGGGGTACATGTCTACTATTTTTGTTTCTTTTATCTTTTGTGTATATACAAGTTTTTGTATGTTCATGAGTGTATGGGGGTATGGAGGCTAATATGATTTTCCCTGTCTTCACCAATGGCTTTTCACCTTGATTTTGGGGACAGAGCCTCTCACTAAACCTGTAGCTCACTGATATACCTAGACTGGTCTTCATCCAACCCCAGGGATCCTGGTGTCCCTTCCTCCTCAGTGCTGGAATGGCAGGCTGATCTCAGCCTGGCTTGGCTGTTTACATGGATGATGAGGATTGAACCCAGTCTTTAGTCAGCACTTAACCCACAGAGCTGTCTCTTCGGCCCATCCCACCTCTTTTTGTAAGTCTTTCTTTCTTTCTTTCTTTCTTTCTTTCTTTCTTTCTTTCTTTCTTTCCTTCCTTCCTTCCTTCCTTCCTTCCTTTCTTTTTTCTTTCTTTTTTTTTTTCCAGACCATTAGTTCAAAGCTCTTGGGAAATTTCTCCATTTCTATCTGGACACAAATGTTTTCTGAGGGTAATTTATGAGAAGACTGATTTTGTTTGAGTAGCTGGGAGCTAATAGCTGTAGAGTGAGTTGTGGGGGTTCATACTTAAATAAGCATTTTAAAAGCTGTATGGCCATTAGGGTTCTTGAAACTCCGTGGTTAACTAAATTTAAACTAATAAGCAGACTTTAAGGCTCCTGGGATGAACTTCTGAATAGATGTGCAGCAGAGAAGCAGTTTGCTTTTATAGTTCTTTGCTCTCTCTATTTCGAACTCTTTGACAAGCACCAGGTCTCTGTGCCAACAGTGAAAAGCAGATTGTAGGGGACGGGGTAGGCGAGAAGATGATAGTGCAAAGGTTACTGTAAGTTTAGAAAAGAAACATGAAGGATGGTATAGCCAGAGGACACACATTTCTATGCACCAGTCTTCAGATAGATGGAGAGATAAATCATCAATGCAGACACAGGCAGAATGTCCCTTAATGCTTGAGAGGGAAGGATTTCAGATTTCTGAGTTTTGTGCATTTGGGAATATTAATACCAGCTTTTAAGAGTTGAGCATCTCTAATGCAAATTTGACAATTCAAAATTATTGTCCTTGCTTTTTCTTTACTATGAAAACATAAGGACAAAAGGAAGGGCCAAGATTACTTCACTTTTCTGTCCCTCAGTTTCCTCCTTTGAGCTCTTTTGTTCATCAATACCAATGGCATTAAAGGTAACGGAAAAAAAAAAAACTCATTTTTGTGCTTATGATGTCTGTGTATGTAGGTAGTGTTTATGTCTGTGGTATATATATCATGTGTGAATGTGTATGTGGTGTCTGTGGTAAGTACATGTGATGTGTATGTGTGTATATATGTATGTTTTCGGTGTGTGTGGTGAGATGTGTGTACATGCACAGTGTGTGTTGGGTTCCTCCCTCATACATGTCTGTGAAGGCCAGAGAGGGTGTCCCTTTTTGTCTCATGGCATCTCAGTTAATCATTAGTCTCCATCATCTTGCACTGTCTGGTCCTAGTAAAGCTCACTGAAGATGTTCATCTTACAAAGTTTAACAAACATCTTCACAGCTCTAAGGACTGTAATACTTGCAGGGGAATAAGACTCTGTGGGGAAAGTGTCTTCCTAAAATCAACAGTAAAGAGTTTAATCAAATTGAGTGATGGTTTCAAGAGGAGGGACCAAGTGGGAAGTGGACAACCAGAGAAAGATGAGCAACCAGGAATCCTTCTCCAAGTCCTATGTCTTAATGTCATGTTTGCCTTTCAAAAGGCAGCTCTTGAAATATCAGTGGAATTTTCAAATGGTTCCCATACAAATCTCATCATTTTAAGGATGACCTGTTATACGCTAATTAGTAGTAAACCTATACTTGCTTCTTTAAGAACAGATAGAAAAGATGAGAAGGAAGGGAGGGGGAGGGAGAGAATAACAGAGAGTGAAGGAGGGGGAGGGATAAAAAGAGGGAAGGGGAGAGAGGAAAAAGAAAGCAAGAAAATAAGGGAGGGGCAGGGAGAAAGGGAAGGAGGAAGGAAGGGAGAGAAGGAAGGGTTTCAAGGTAAAGGCAGTGACCAAGATCTGAGGGCTTAGGTTCCCAGAAGACAGCAAGAAAGGGTAAGCCACATTCCTACCAGCTGTTCCCCCTCAGAGCTCTATCTACTGCCTGTTGGCACAGAGGAGGCTGCAAGTCTTAGCAGAGGACCCAGCTACCACAGAGGCCACCAGCAGAGCTTTTAGCAAGGCATGAGGGTGATGACATGGATTTTGGAGTTCACAGCTGCCATGGCACCAGACTTGCATGTCCAGCATCACAGTGATAAAAGAGGGTCCTCATTCATCCAAAACTGGCATTCTTAAGCTGCTGAAGACAGAAGATTCAGGAATGAAGCAGAAAGTAATTGAAAAACCCCAAGAAGAATTTTTATAAAGCCATGAGACATTAGACATTCACTGTTTGCACTGCTCAGAAGGATGAGGTCAGAGGAGCAGCCTAGGCCCTCACCTAAATTCTGGAAGGGAAATTCAGAGACAAATATAATAAAGTGGTGTGTGTGTGTGTGTGTGTGTGTGTGTGTGTGTGTGTATACATGCATGTAATACTTGGGGGAACAGAAAAGTGGGTCTTGGATCCCCTGGAGGGTAGAGTTATATGTGGCTGCCTGACATGAGCACTGGCAACCAAATTCCCATTCTCTGCCACAGTTGCAACCCCTGTAAACACTCCAAACTCTCCAAAGCCTTGAACTCTTATTTCTCCTGCATCAGCCACCAAATGCTAGAATCATAACTGTATCTCAGCAAACCCAATTTACAGATCCCAGCATGAACCTGGACTTGGATTAAGAGAGGCAAATCTCCCAATTCCTTCCACTTTCCCAACTAAAACTTTATTGTTCATTTTAATGCTACAGTTCATTACCACAGTGTATGCCTAGAAAATGAAACTGTGTACCTGGAGAGTACATTGCTTACCTGGCCTGTTTTGCTTTTTAGCTTTTACATGGTTAGCTGCAGAGATGGTGTAAGATGAAGTGAAGGATCTGCTCTTGGTAAGAGTCATCGATCCTGGCGTAGTCCAAGAGTCGGGATTGAGAGCACTATAAAGACACCAATTAAAGACCACAGAGTGATTACTCAACTGTTACTGAGCACACCTTGCCAGACCCCAGCCTCCACCTCTGTAACAGACACACCAATATGAGTATTTCTTCCTAGGTTGCTGCCAGACCATTTAAATTGCAACTGACAGAATAAGCTAAGTCAGCTTTGACTCCAACTATGTATCTGTCTTTCATTAAACACAGACTACCAAAAGCAAACAGGTTGTTGCCAATCTATCCAATCCATAGAAATGAAACACCCTTTCCAGCATTTGTAGTCATGTTCTTTACAGATTTTTTCAAAAGCTATCTACAAGAGTCAATGACAGTGATGCAACTGCCCTTATAGGACTAGAGATGCCATCATGCTTACTTAGGTGCTCTTTGTTATACAACATTGTTGGTGACTATACACTCAGTAATTAATATTTGATCATGCCACTCAGTAACAATGTCTTGCTGCAGTACTGAACTTAGCAAGTAGAGCATGAGAAGCAGACCTGTACCCTGTCATTTCTCTGTTGGCAACTCAGCATTGCCTTTCTAAGAAAACTGTTAGCAGCATCCTGGAGCAATGTCCTAAGATTCCTCTTTACTGGTGGCACCTTGGAAAGAATGTGATGTCCTAGTCACACCCCACTGAAATACACTCATAATGGGCATGGTGCTAACCTACTGATCATATGATTAGGGGAGAGGCAACAGGTTCTCTTTGTCAAGGGAATGCATTTATCAGCAAAGACTTGTTTCATCAAGTTGCTCCCAGTAAACAAATCTGGAATCAGTCAATCCTCAGAGGATTGGGCCTAGAGAAGGGTACAGAAGCCATATAATTAGTGGGATGGGATTCCTAGAGGCCTTCCACACCAAAATCTCTCTTTACATACTGCTTCAAACCTTACAAGTGGAAGTGGAAGACACTGTACACCCTCCTCATTTGGGAGAGAAGAGAATTCTGGAAGTTGTGTTGACAACCTTGGACAGTTCCCAGTGAAAAGCCCTTGTCCTCTGTTTTGCTAGCACCTGTGTGTCCTTTCATGCACCAGTAAATTTGGTGGAGGTTGAAAATCTATAATTTGCAGATTGAGCAGGATGTGTCTGATCTGTAAACAACCCTGAAATTGATGGAATTATGAATCATGATGCATAGTTTGTCATATAAGACATATAATCAATGACGTATAATTCGGAGATGGTCCTGAGGAACAGGGGTTTTACCTCTCCCAGAAACCATCAATTGCCAAGAGCTCCTTAGTTAGTTAGGGATGGGACTTCATGAACCCCTCCACATGAGAGTTTTGTTCAACGATTACAATTTAAAAGTCTCCTTTCACTCTGACTTTCCTAAACAGCTTACAACATACACAATGGAGGAGACATTTGAAGGTTGAAATGAGCTTCAGCAATTGTCAAGAACATTTGAATCCTAAATAAATGCTTGTTTCAAGGCATCTTTAAAAATTTCATCTTTAGCCTTTTTCGAATGCTTGGAATTTTGTGAATGAGAAACTAAAAGAAAAACTTTGTGTATTACATAGTCAGTGATTTCCTTGTGTTAATAGTCTCTATTCACCCATTCTGTTTGCCTGAGTAACTGCTAAAATTGACTATGAAAGTTTATGTAATATATATTGTCTAACTCTTCATTTTGCAGACTATTATATGGTTGGTAAATTATTACTCATCCATGTAGACATTTGGAAGAGCTTAACATCCTTTAACATCTTAAAAAGGTATCTTATTGAGGCTCATTCAAAAACTGTCTACCTCTGTTCTTTTACAGCCAATTAATATTTAAAAGTGATCTTCAGGGATGGCTCAGTGGTTAAGAGCACTGACTGCTCTTCGAGGGGACTTGGTTTGATACCAACATGGCAGATCACAACCATATGTAATTCCAGTTCCAGAGGATCTAATACCCTCTTCTGACTTCCAAAGATACTATACAGATGTAGTACATATATACATGAATTCATGAAATTAAAAAAAACACTTCAAAAGAAGTGTGTCTAAAAACAATTAAAATGTGTTTAGTTTGAAAAGTTTATATAATGGAATACAATGAAGTCAAGAATTAATAAAGTCCTACCTATATCTACCCCCACTTTAAGCTGCTATATATTAATCTATTATATTATACTATTAATAAAACAGCATGAATCAACGTATGTCATTTAAATTCATTATAGTTCAGGGTCATGTCTGCATACCTGTCAGCTTTTCAATGACTAGTGCTGGCTTACCCCTGCTTAGAACTAATGAACAGGTAAGAACTGAGAGTCAGGGCCACTCTAGGACAATAAGTAGAGAGATGCTACACAGTTTTTCAAGAAAGACAAAGACACAATAAGCATGTCTGGGATAGGGTCAAGGAAAATAAGTATCCCACAGGAAAAACTAGAGAGAAATTCAAGCAGCCAGTCTGCTTACCAAAGCCATCACATGGTGAAATTTGTACAGTGTTCCCAGTGATGAGTTGACCTATGCAGTCCCTGGTCAGGGCAGCTCTTCGGGAGCCCTTTGGTAGAGAGCTTACTGGGTTTCAAAGTGCAGGGCTCAAGTAATTTATACACAGAATGCTAAGGGTGAAGGTGGCCCAGTTGCTGGTAAAGACGCATGAGCAGGTTCAGTCACTGTGCTGTATGTGGAAAAGTAAAACTTCACTAAATGAAAAGGAAGTCTGTCCTCACTCAAGTCTCAGGGTTTGAGGGGCTGCCACTCCCATGCTCAGCTCACCACCTTGCTGTCATGCAGAGGAAACTACTTCAGACATTGTTATTAAATATTTACATACAGACATGGATATTTTCAGTCATTTGGTCACTATAGGCTGATAGGTATATTTCATAATTCTGTAATTATAGGGTAAGGTTATTGTAATTATTGATGTCATACAAAGTATTCTAATTTTCTTCTAAGTTGTAAAGCAGAGACAAAGTAACCCCCTTTAAAAGCACATTTTTTAGTTATGTTTTCTTATAAATTCATTTTAGATTCTAATATTACATTTAGCCTTTTAAATTTTGGCCTTTCAGTTACTAACAGAATTTGAATCTTGAATTTCCCTCAAGGGCAATGTGTTAAAGGCTTGTCTGCAGCTTCAGAGACCCAGCCTTTGAAGGTAATTAGGTCAGTGGGGTTGTTCCTTTGCAGGGCATATTGGGAAATGAGCCCTTGTCTTCTCCTTCTCTCCTGCTTCCTCTCCCTTCTGTCCGTCCTGGCAGCTACAAGGTACTCAGGCTCCTCTGCCTTGATGTACTATGACTCCAAAGCCCCACAGCAAAATCTGAGAAATCACAGATGGGGACCACTAAATAATCCTTAATCTGTATCAGGTGATGGAAAGTGGATTTACACATAAAATTGCAATTTATTATGCTATTAATATACTAAATAAAATGTAAAACTCAGGGTATGGCGCAGAAAACATGCAAGTGTATGTGTATGCACATACACACATATACACACACATATACATACAAACACATATGCACACATGTATACATATATAGACATATATGTACATACATATACACAGACATGCATACACATACAAAATATACACACATGAACAGAGATATATACATATACACATACATATACATATATACACATACATGTACATAAATGCATATGTACACATTTATACATTTATTCACATATACATACACTCACACACATATACACACATAGACATACACAAAAATGCACATACATAAACACAAATATACACACATGCTCATATACACTCACATACACATGTACTTTTACACACATAGACACACACGCACACATAATAGGCAAGTGTACACATTACACAGAGAAACATACACAAATATACACATGTACATATCATGTATAAAATGCACACATATGTACACACATACACACATACATGAACACATATACACAGACACATGTATACACATATACACATGCAACACACAGGTGCACATATACACATACATGAACACATTTAAACACATACATGCATGCACGTATACACATATATACACAATACACATGCACACATATATATAAACACACATGAATAAACATACAGACACGTACATATACACATTTATACATGTGCACATATAAACATGTACACACATGCAAGCACACATAAACATGCACATACACATGCATGCACATACATAAACACACAAATACACATATGCAAACAGAAAACGCATACACACATACATATAAGTGCACATACACAGAGACATTTTAAAAGATTTGAATGTATCCAAGTGTTGAGAAGATGATACCTACTTTTTGATCTATAATTCTTACTAATTCTTCAGGAATGAAGGCCCAGCAGGTCTGAGGGGCCACGGTAAGAATTGTATGTAAATGTTAGGCTACATGCCTTCAAGTTAGCTCTCAGTATGGATCTCAAAGCAGGTAAAGTGTAGTGTGCCCTCACTCTTGCCCTAGGCTTTTCCACCCAATGCCATAGGGTCATCCCAACCCGCCCTTAGTCATTCCAGTCCGGCCCTAACGTGCTCAGAATTTAAGCATGAGAATGTGGTAAGTTCTAAGCTCACTTCTCAGTAACTCTGGTTGGGCCTCTCCTCTTTTATGGATCCTCTTTGGCAAGTAACTCCTCTGAGGAGACATGGAGCCAGTGGAGTGGACTCTAACCTGGGTGAAGGTGCTTCGTGTGGCTTTATGCTGGCACTGCGGTCTCTCCGTACTGGTGCAGGCTCCAAGGTGGGCAGACCTGTGGCAGAGGTGGTGGTCGTCCAAGTCGAGGAGACTCTTCTCAGCAAGCCTGGGGGCAAACTTCTTCTCAGGCGCTGGAAGGAAAATTCGCTTTATCACCAACCATATTTTAGATTGTTAACTCTTATGTAAAACAATGCAAGGAAGCAAGGCAAAGGGAAGCAGTTGAGGAAAACAGTAGAGGCTGGATTTCATCTCTTCCTATCCCGGGACAGTGGGGAGAAACACTGGAGTTGACATGAGAAAGGCAGCAGTAAGCCATGCCTGGTGCTCACTGGGGAGTCTCCGGAAGTGACTGCAAGAAGCAAACTGGGCTACATAGCAAGTATTGGGCTCCCAGGTCTGTCTACACAGGAAGGTTCTGTCTCAGACTGCTCAGAAGTGGCAGGAAGGAAACCTTGCAGACTGGAAAGATTAGCTCAGACCAAACCCTTCACACCACACCTACCTTGGGAATGGCCAGTTTGTCTTTCTCCAAGCCCTCCTCCGAATCAGAGCAGGTATAGTTCTCACTGAAGGTCACAGCGGGGTTCACTCTGGGCTTGTGGATGGCCTGGAAGGTGAGCTGGGTGCTAAGCAGGTTGCTCACGGCCCTCAAGGATGTGCACACGTTTGGAGGCAGAGAAGGGTCTGCAAGGAGGTCGGTAATGAGGCCATGGGCCTCGCCCATCACGGCAATATCCACAGTGATGCTGGTTCCTGACTGGGACATGAAAACAAGAGGTCAGGGATGGTGAGAGTGTGGAGATGAAGTGAGCTGATCTGGACTTTAGTCTGGGCTCTCTGGATGAAAAACAAACAGCTGGCGGCACCGTAGTGCACACTTTAAACTTTGCACCCAGGCAGCCGAGGCAGGAGGATAGAAGCTCTAGGGCCAGCCCAGGCTAGGTAGTGAGACTCTGTCTTACCTCTGCAGTCCACTAGAAGTTAAAAAGCAGGTAAATCGAACTAAACATTTCAGAACAACACAGTTCCAGTCACACTGCTGTTTTGACGCACTAAAATTTGCCAGGGTTGTTTTTGTGGGTCCATGCTTTTCAAAAGAAGTTACATTTTTAGGAAAAAAAAAAACCAGACTGGTCCATAAGCGTTATCGATACAGGTTTGCCAGGTGGCTCAGTGTCTGGGAGCACTCACTGCTCTTGCAGACAGCTTTAGTTGCAAGTTCCAGCCTCTGACGTCTTCCGATACTTCACGCAGATGGTGTGTATCAGTGGTCCTCAACCCTCCTAATGCTGTGACCCTAAATACAGTTCCCCAACCACAAAAATATTTTTGTTGCTACTTCCTAACTGCAAGTCTGATACTGTTATGAATCATAATGTAAATATCTGATATGCAGGATATCTGAAGGGATCATGACACAAACGTTTAGAACCAGTGATACACATACATACTTATATAAGTGTGTGTGTGTATATATATATATATATATATATATATATACACATTCAGGCAAAACATTCACACACATCATACATAAAAATTAAAATAAATATTTAAAAAACATTTCAAACAGCTATATATATGATATACTGATAGATTGCAGATTGTATAATATTTAAATCCGGGCCAGCATATCTATCACCTAAAACATGCACATGAATATTTCTCGGCACTGAAAATATTCAAAGGCCTTTCTTCCAGCCTGTTAAAATTCATTGTCTTCACCTGCAGTCATTCCACTGTGTGTGCAACAACATGTGGCTGCTCCTTTCTCCCCTGAGGCATGTTTTTCAAAGCTAGAGCTTGAGGAGGAATGGGGCATATATAACAAGCCAGAAACAGCTCTCGGGCTGCACCTTGGTAGTTCAGCACTTGCCTGTGGTGACATTATTTATGATTTATTAAAGCTTGCCTGAGAATTCAGAAAGCAAAGTCAGCCTCAAGCTATAGAGATCAGGCAGTGCTGGCACACACTGTTAATCCCAGGATTTAGGAGACAGAGGCAGATGGATCGCTCTGAGTCCAAGCCCACCCAGGGCTACAAGAGATTGAATCAGTCTAACAGAGGAACAGAAATAACACCTTTAATCCTAACACTAGAGAGATATAAAAGATAGGAGCAGGGTCTTCGGGAATCAGTCTCAGGAGTTTCTAGCCACGCTGAGGAGAGTATAGTAGTCTTAGTGAATCTGGAGAGCAGTTTGAGGATTGCCCCTTTTGTCTGAGCTGAGGTAGAGGTAAGAGCTAGTGGCTGACTGCTTTGCTTTTCTGATCTTCAGGTTAAATCTTGAACCCCAATATCTGTCTCTAGGTTTTTTATTTATCCTGTTACACTTGCCTAACATATTTGAGCCCTGAGTTTGATGCCAGTATCACACTATCCAGTGCCAAGCAAACAAAAGATTGAACCAATTGACACCCAGTTTTAAAATGCAGAGGGTTTGAGAGGAACAAGCAGCATCAAGCATTCCTCATGAAGAAATCTTCATTTTATGATCACTGAAAAATTTCATTTTGAAAGTAACATTAACACACAAGAAGAGCATGCTTCCAGTGAAAGTTTAATGCAAGGCTTGGGCCTGGTATGTGGTAGGGATCCAACTAGTTTTAGAGACAGACATGAAAAGCCACCAAGTTTGGGCCCAAATTCGCACTCTGTCTCTCCTGGTTGGGAAGGTCAGATTTCAGTTCTGTGACACGTTTGCTATATTTTGACAAGTTGTCCATTAGATCAGAGACATCGGGGAAGAAGAGAGAGAAGGAAAAGAAACAACAAAACTAAAAGAAGAAGTGAGAACAAATGTGTCCCATGTTGCTGTTCAGGAGAGCTTAGAAGAGAGGAGGGATCCAGAGAAGGTCAAGTGGCAAAGCGATGCCTCCAGACAGTGGCAGAAGACCAGCTGTTCTGCCACGAAGTCACTGTGGAGTGCACAATCACAGCAATTACCAAAGCAGGTCCTAGATCGAGGCATTTAGATCCAGGTCTGTCTCATAATTTGTCACTTCCCAGGACCATAATCTCTACCAGATTACTGAAATCCCCCATTCCTATATCTCCCATCTGTGATTTTCAGGTATAATAACGATGGTTCCGGAAGCAGGCAAGTGAACAACACCTGTAACCCCAACATTTGGGAGAGGTTGTTCAAGGTCATGCTTAGCTGCATAGTGAGTTTGAGGACAGTAAGGGATATACCTTCTCAAACAAAAGAAAAGGCAAGAAAACAGCCAAGTAATAACAACAATAATAACAATAACAATAATAATAATAATAAACTCTAAAGATAAATGTAAGAATGAAAAGAGATCATGTACATCAAACAATTCTGTGTTAGCAGTTATAAAACTTCAGTCACAGTTGTGGTTTAAACAATAATATATATAATTATATAGATAGCAATGATACCTTTAAATCTTTTAAATGAGAGGCTATTAGAGTTTTAATAAATTCCCCACAATAGACCTAAATTTCAATGATCTAAAAAAATTAAATGTATAAAACTATAAAATAAAAAGGAAGTATAGAGGAGTGTTTTCTAATCTGCCAGACAGAAACTTTTAAGATAGGATTTCATAAGTTGCCAAGGAAACCTGCAGTAGGGATGTCTACACAAAGATGGAAACATCTATGTAAGAAAATGCATCATAACTGGGCATTGGTGGCACACACCTTTAATCCCAGCACCCAGGAGGCAGAGGCAGGCGGATCTCTGTGAGTTTGAGGTCAGGCTGGACTACTGAGTGAGTTCCAGGACAGCCTCCAAAGCTACAGAGAAATCCTGTCTCAAAAAATAAAAACAAAAGCAAAAACAGAAATATATCATAAAGGAAGAAGTCTGAGGAGAAATATATGAGACAAAACACAGTAAGTAAAGGGCTTCTTAAAAATCAATATGGAAGGCTGGAGAGATGGCTCAGAGGTTAAGAGCACCGACTACTCTTCCACAGGTCCTGAGTTCAATTCCCAGCAACCACATGGTGGCTCTCAGGCTGGACTACTGAGTGAGTTCCAGGACAGCCTCCAAAGCTACAGAGAAATCCTGTCTCAAAAAATAAAAACAAAAGCAAAAACAGAAATATATCATAAAGGAAGAAGTCTGAGGAGAAATATATGAGACAAAACACAGTAAGTAAAGGGCTTCTTAAAAATCAATATGGAAGGCTGGAGAGATGGCTCAGAGGTTAAGAGCACCGACTACTCTTCCACAGGTCCTGAGTTCAATTCCCAGCAACCACATGGTGGCTCACAACCATCCCTTATGAGATCTGGTGTCCTCTTCTGGTGTGCAGATATACATGGAAGCAGAATGTTGTATACATAATAAATAAATAAAATCTTTTAGAAAATCAATATGGAAAAGTGGAAAGGGTAAATAAGTATCTGTCATGATATGGGCATGGGTATGCTGTATATTGCCTTTAGTATGTGTATTTATGGCTCCATCCCTAGGTTCTTCGAGACTTTTATCATGGAGGGAGTTAGATATAGTCAAAGGCTTGTTGTATCTAATAAGATGATCTTGTCATGGCTGTCCTTGAGTCTGCTTATGTGCTTGTGTCCCAATCCGTTCTCTGTCAACTTGACACAGGGAACATCAATTGACAAAATGTCTCTATCAGACTGGCCTATGGGCAATTTGTGGGGCATTGTCTTTCTCCCAGCCCACCATGAGGGGTGCCACTGCTGGGGTGGCTCCCTTGAGTTATTTCCTCTGCAGTTGCTTCTGGCCATGGTTTTTATCACAGAGCATAGACAAGTAGACTACATTGGTTGATGTGCATATGTTGAACCATCCCTCCATCTATGGGATAAAGCCAACTTGATCATGGGGGATACTCTTCGATGTGCTCTTGAATTCATTTTGCAACTATTTTACCAAGAACTTTTGTGTGTACATTCATTAGAGAAATTAATGTACAATTTTCTTTTCTTGTTGTATGTGTGTCTTGATTTTAACTCAGGACAATGAATGCCTGCTATCCTGGACAGGAAGTAGCAGTTTAAGGCCACCATAAGTTATATAGCCGGTTTAAGGCCAGCCTGCACTATATACAGTGGCCCTAGTCTCAAAAACAAAGAAATAAATAAAACAAAACAAAATGAACTATTTTCTTCTCTAATAATTAAAATGTAAAACAATTGAAAAAACATTCCCAGAATTATAAAAATATGGTGAGCAGCAATTTTTATTTACAAACCAATATGAAAATTTAAATGCACTGTTAGTAGCTTTAAGATAATTATGCTTATGTCATACAGATATACATTATTTATGACAACATTCACAAAATACCACCAAATTGGGCTAGATTCAAATTCATCTTACATACTTGTAGAAAAAAACTCACCCAGGGCATTCCTCTGCAACAGAACTTATTCTCTCAACCAATACTTTTCTAATACACTAATAAGTCATGTGACAGTTAAATGAGAAATGTCCCCCACAAGTTCAGACTTTTTGAACACTTGGTCTCTAGGTGCTGGCTCTGCTGGAGAGGAGCAGCCTTGTGGAAGAAAGTACATTACTGGGGGAAGGCTTAGAGAGTTCACAGGCTTGTACCCGTCTTCTCCTCTCTTCTCTCTGCTTCATGCTTGCAGGTAAGGATGTCACTGTGCCTGCCTCACATGGAATAATGGATTGATATGGCTCTGGAGACAGAGCCAAAACAAACTCTTCTTTATATTGTGTTTGGAGATGATATTTTATCACAGAGACAGAAAAGCAAACTGACACGCGTGCCCTAAGACATTGTACT